GATACCAAAAACTACGGAAATGAGAACAAATCTATTTCACTCTAGCTTTATATTCTTTTATTGTAATTATTCGTTGTCTTGTGGTGGGCCCTGCTGCTGCTGGCGACGCGGTTATCGCGTTCTGGCGCGAGGGGAAGGGGGAGAATACGCGTGGTAAACACTCGCGGTGCCGACGTTCGGCGAGGAGCAAGCGAGCAAGCGAGCGGGCGTAGTTCCGATGCGACGGAACACGGATTGGCGTTGCAAGTCGGGGGTGTGTTCTCCTTTTGATACGGGCACGTGTTCGGTTTTGCGCGTGGCGGCGAGAATGCGGCGATCGGACGCACGTCTGTCCTCGGCGAGTTCTCGAAACGGAAGAGGATGAATGAAAAAATCAGTGGTCGCACTTAAGCGACGCGTCGCGCTTATCGATCGGCCCGCGACGTTGGCGGGTATGCTGGGCGGCGGCTTGTCTGGCGGAGATGGTCTGCCACACGACGGCAGGAACGTGGCGGTCCGGCTGGTTGTACTCCCATCCGTCCGGAAGCGGATAGCGCTCGCCTTCCGGAGGGTCCTGGCTTGTGCGCGCTGGGCTCCTCTCCCGTTCGCCGGGAGTATCCTGGGGTAGACTGACGAGACCATCGGGGTTCCACTGCTCTGGAACGGCCCAGATCAGCTCCTCGACCTCGGCTGGGATCTGGTCTAGGAGCTGACCGATGGTCCCTGGCGACATGCCCATCGCGGAGCTGAGGGGGCTGGACCTTGTTGTCGCTGGTGGGAGTGTGGCGTCGGCAGTGACTTCGAGGGCTGGGCTTGGGATGTTATCCTCGGTCACCCGGGTTGGCGTGGCAGCGGCGGGTGCGTACGTGGGTCACCAGGTGCGCCGGAACCGCTGGCCCGTGCTCTCGGGGGGCCGCCACGGGACCTCGACCTGGATGGTTTCGTAGATCGTATGATTCGCCCACGACCCTCGCTGGTACCAGAATCGGTCCTCTCGGGTGTAGTAATAGTGCTGTGCCCCTTCTGGTGGGACGTAGAGGTGGAGAACTATCGATGGCACTATCGACACTATCGATGGTTTGGCACTATCGCACCGCCATCGATGGCAGCCTAGAACTATCGATAGTTTTGCACTCGGCTTCTCACATCACAATGAAAACATAAAGTTGAAAGTGGAACCCAAAAATATAGTGAAAAGCAAAAGTATAGCTGAAAGTAAAAATTTAATTGAAAGTGGAAAGCGGAACATATGTTATAACATGTTCCTAACAATTGTTGAAAAAGGTAAGTGCAAGCGTATTTGTAAGTTTTATTCTAAGTATTGAACACGTGTTTTTTTTCAATTAAAGCAAAACGACGCAGCTCTACTCCCAGCAGCGACGTCGAAGTAGCGTGTGAATGCAGCAGCGCTGACTCGGAAGAAGCCCTTAAGCGAAAGAAAGGGATATCGAAGGTGTGGAAGTATTTTAAGCGATCGGACGACAAGAAACTGGCGAAGTGTCTGAATTGCGGAAACGAGTACAAGACGAGCGGCAACACGTCAAATTTAAGAGATCATTTAAAATGATTTCATCCAGGCATCGATGGCGCTGTTGCCGAACCAGCAGATGACTCAAATTTACCTGCATCATCAAGCAGCAGCACCAGATCGAGCATGCACACGATCTCTTCGTACTTCAAGCGAGCAATTACTTATGATTCCAACTCTAGACGGAAAAGGGACATCGATCGTGCATTAGCCAAGTTGATCGCAAAGGATGTTCAACCCTTCAATATAGTTGAAAATTAAGGTTTTATCGAGTACTCTTAAATCCTTGACCCAAGGTACAAAATTCCCAGCAAGAGATGTGCTGGTGAAGGGTATATTTGACGAGGCTGTTCTAACCCTAAAAACCAAACTGAAGGAAACAACTAGTATTGCAATGACATGCGATTGCTGGACATCATGCGCAAATGATTCCTTTTTAACTGTGACTTGCCATTTTATAGATTGCTTTCAGTTTCGAACAGCGTCACTCAGCACAGAAAAATTAAAAGACGAGACGAATCATTCGGCAGAAAATATTGCTGACACTTCGAAAGGTGTCTAAGAGCAATTCAATGTTTTGGACAAAACAGTGTGCATTGTGACCGATAACGCAAGCTCAATGCTAAAAGCATGTGAAATTTTGAAGATTCGTAACTTGCCATGTTTTGCACACACATTGAATCTTGTTGTGCATGACGGTCTGAAAATTGAAAACAAGAATTTGAGCTTGGCAAACTTATTTTCAATATGTAAGACCACCGTCACATATTTTAAGAAAAGCTGTATTGCATACGCAAAATTTAGAAAAGCCCAAGAAACCGAAAAACCGCTTAGCTTATTGCAGGAAACGCCAACTAGATGGAACAGCTTTTACTTTATGATACAGCGTATTATTCAAACAAACAAAGCGATTTCAAAAGTGCACATGCCCCTCTGCCATTTACTGCCAATGAAATAATAATATTAGAGGACATATGCAACCTATTGGCCTTAAATTTAAATAGACACAGCTGCTGCAAAAACATAAAACTATCACAAAGTTTAAAAACTGTTTGTCCGTTGGACAAAACCGAGGCCATTGAAAAATGCGCAAATTGGATAACAGAAGACTGTTGGCCATTTTTAGCAGTCCGCGGTTCTGGTTTTGTTAAACTAGTAAAGTTTTTTGTTAAAATTGGCGCAACTTACGGGGAGCACGTCGGCGTAGAGGACATGCTACCAGATCCAACTACCATTTCTCGGAAAGTCTCGAAATGCGCTAATGAAAAGAAGAAGGGATTTAAGACCGAAATTAATAAGATTGTCAACAGTGGTTACGCGTCAGTAACAATTGACATGTGGTCGGACAACTACATCAAGCGTAACTATTTGGGAGTAACATTCCACTACCAGAAGAATTTTAAATTCTTCGACCTGGTTTTGGGAATGAAGTCGATGGATTTTGAAAGATCAACAGGCGAGAATATCCTAAGAAAACTAAAAAGTTTATTCAATGAATTCAATATTTCAAATATTGAAAAAATTAAATTCATTACCGATAGAGGAACAAACATATTGAAAGCCTTGAAAAACAACACCCGATTAAACTGCAGCAGCCACTTGCTGAACAACGTTTTGGACAAGTCATTTTCTGCCACCACAGAGCTCGCAGATGTGTTGGATTCATGTAAAAAAGTGGTTAAATATTTCAAAAAATCTAATTTGCAGCATCAGCTTACCACTTCGCTTAAAAGTCAATGCCCAACACGTTGGAACTCCAACTATTTTATATTAAGATTATTGACAATTGGGGTGAAATGAACACCTTTTTGATGCAGAACGAGCAAAGCCTGAGATTATTGCACAATAATATAAATATTATAAAAGCGGTTGTTGAAATGTGCGAAAATTTCGAAATAGTTTTTAAAAAACTTCAGCTTTGCAGTGCTCCTTCGCTGTGCTATGTGCTGCCATGAATTTTCAAAATTAAATATCTATATCAGCCAACCATTGATGAAATACCAGTTATTTTAGATTTAAAGGAACAATTTATTAAAAATACTGACGACATATGGTTTCCTAATATTGGTATATGGCACAAAGTAGCATATTTCCTATATCCACCGGTTTTGAGTATGCAGCCAAATGATATAAAAGCTGTATATGTATATATCTATTACATATTGTTATGGCCACTTAAAATAATCGGGGTAGAGCTAAGCGGTGCCTGCCGATATATCGTGTAACGACGTAAGCAATATCTGACAGGGATGCCACCCCGTTCCGAAGAGAGGGGATTATCTGATTAAATCGGTTCAGCGGGAGCGAATAGGCGCAGTGCGTACGGCCGAAAATTTGAAAATTTTCGCGGGTGCGCGGAAAATTTAATATTATATATTAAATAAAACAACTTTTTTTTTAAAAAACGAGATTAGTGCAACTCTAAACCTAACTCCAACCACCAACCCAGGGACAAGAAAGGAAGCGAGGACGGGAAGCCGGATCGAGGAAACCGAAAGGTGAGTCGTCGTGGTCCGGAGATGAAGTTTTCACCCAATGGCTCTCGTTTCCAGACTCGACCAGACCCAGTCCTCGCAGGACGAGATTGGCCAGGTCATTAAACGGACCTGGCCCAGTTTTTGAGGATTCTTGAGGATTGGAGGGACTTCAAGATATAGGCATGCCCTAACCCCAACGGCGGCGAAACCGACAATTTAATTTGGAGGCATAGGTGCCCCTAGAGCGGTCTCCAGTACTTTTCATGTTGCAAGAGGGCCTATAGAGTAGACCTTTCTTCGTTTCTTTCGTCGTGGAAGCCCGACACGCCTCCCAAGTGGCGGCACCGGGAGCCAGAAGGCTTCAGAATTTTTTTTGTATAGTTTTAGGTCCAGTTTCAGTGTGTAGATATTTTTTTTCTGTGTATTTTTCATCAAATATTTTTTTATAGATATATTTATTCGCAACAATTTTTAATTAATATTTTATTCCAATATTCATTGTGGATATAGTATTTAATTGCGTATTTATTTATCAACTTTTATTTATTTATTTATTTATTTTTTTATTTGGGCATATTCATTTATTTATTTATATTTTTGTTATTTGTCCATATTTATTTATTTATTTATGTTAATTTATGTTCTTGCCAGATTTATTTATTTATTTAATTGGTGTGCAAACAACCAGTGTATAATTTTTGTTGGTGAAATTTTGTGTGGCATATTTATTTCTCTTGTCTTCTATATATGAATATTTTTCCCCGCGAAACCCCCTTGAGAGCTCTTACGGGTAGGTCGGCATATCTTTACAGTGGGAATTTGGTTAATTTACAAAGTGCACCGTATGAAATGAACAATTAAATATATATACACAAGAAATCAACATATAATTCAAAAGCAAACCATACTTGGCATCAAGAATACAAAAATTTAAAAATAATGATTGTTAACATAAATATAAGCTGAAATAGAAAACATGAACATGGAATAGAATTTAATTTGGGAGGTAGAGGGTGAACCGGGGGAATGAGTGGGTAAATTTGTGTGTGTGTGTTTGTCAAGGGGCAGCTGTAAAAGAAAAACATTAAAGAACATGCGAACAGACTGCACGGTAGGGAAGGGATGAGCATGTGGCCTCCAGTCCAGCAGGAGGAGTATTTAGGGCAGTGTGTGTGAGAGGCCATTGAATTGGTTTTGTGTGTTTAAATGTAAGCCGCGCGTGTTATAGTGTTGTCAAATGTCGACTCTCGATGTTTATTGTTGTGTGTGTGACGGGCAAGGGTTAGGGAACCTACGGCCCGAGGACAGAGCTAGCCGGATCTAGCCTGGATGCGGGCCATGTGCTGTGTCCAATGCAGCAATGTGATCACCGAGGCAGTCATCAAGGCCAGTGCCACCACCAAGTCAGCCTACTGCACAAGGGAAAGGTAAGATTTCATCGAGATACTAAGGAGATGGGTGACAAATTGATGATCTCTGTATTTGCAGTCGCTTCAGGTGCATTGTGCCGTATCCACCCAACAGCGACATCGAACTGGAGCTGCATGTGTGCGACATAATCTACGTGCAGCGCAAGCAGAAGAACCGCTGGTACAAGGGCAAGCATGCGCGTACTCCCAAAACCGGACTCTTCCCCGCCGCCTTTGTCGAACCGGACCCCTAGGCTGCCTTTCAACAGGACCAACCAGAATTTATTAAGCGAAATTCCAAATTACTTGTCAACATTAATTTAAGTCGCCGGTCGATTCGGGCTTCCAATTCGCAATCTCCTAATGCTCTTTTTGAAAAAGAATTAGTTTTGTACTTCTTTTCCGCTCAAATGCGCAGTTCGACGATGTACTTTTTATACAATCCCTAATCAAGATAGGCTAGTTATTAACTAGGTCCTAAACCCAATTTACTTAAGAGTAAAAAATATAATAAAGCAACAAATTAAATGCATTTTGTTACGGAACTGCATATTCCCTGGGCAATGCCGGACTAGCTCAGTGGATGCCCAGGGGGGGTAGGAACCTATGCCCGCAGTCCGCACAACAAAATACCGATTAATCGGACGTCTCAACAAAACTCCTCACTAACAAATAACACATCTCTAACAAATAAATGTAAACAAACCAAAAAAATGACGACTTTTGCGGAATGGTGGCATAGATGGAGTCGCCACGACGCTCCCTCCCAACCTGTGGTGCCTCCGGTGTGTCTAGGGGCACCACCCATCTCCGGCGGACCGGAGTCTAATCCAGGCGGCTCGACGGCCGGCCCATCTCCCCAGGTAAATACGTTTTACTCACTGTTCATTGCGTTTGCTTTTAATACGTTATAAATTTTAGGTACTTAAGGCTAACATTGCACAGTGGTTCGGCTTGTATGGAGCTGCGGCCATAATTACTTCTAGATGTGCTATCGCTATGAAAATTTCACCAAAAATCTAGAAAAATGTTTTAAGTATATCCACAAAAAATTGGCCATATTGCTCGACTATATCATATAGCTACCATAGAAACAATCTGTTAAAAATCAACATTTAGTATGAAAAACTTTTTTGTTTTTCAAAATATCTTAACCAATTTTACAGATTATATGTTTGGTACAGGTTTATATATTCCTACCAACTTTGGTTAAAATCAGATCTCTATATCGTATAGCTCCCATACAAAATTTTTATTAAATTATTTTTTTTCCAAGACCTAACTTTAATTTTTAAGTTTTTGTTCTCTTAATGAGAACGTTAGTGAAATATAAGTGCCCAAAAGTAAAAAAAAAATATTCACTTATATATTGTGTGTTTAATTTGTTCAGCAACAATCGTACGCAGCTTAAGGGGGGTAAGGTTAATTGGGTGCAAAACTCACTACTTTTAAAAAAAATGTTGTGACGGAACGGCTAAAATTAGCTTAATGAATTAAATACCATATAATAACACAACATTTGAACAATTTTTTTTTTAATTTTTGTATTAAAAAATATTTTCATGCTTACGAGTAATAGCGAATCTCCTGAGCCCCCACAAAAAAAGTTTATTTTCGGTGTACATCCTATCCTAACTGTCCACAAAAACATCCGATATCAAAAAAATATATTGTATTCACTAAAGGATACGTGCCCCGAGGTACTCAGATGACGTTTTTATTTTTAACATTTTTTCCCGATTTTTTATCAACCCGGATTATTGGCGCTGGCATAATTTGACCTTGAAAAAAATAAGAAGTCGTGTTAGAATATTAACGATTACAACTACATCCGCAACTTTCCGCACCTAACTTTAACGAATTTAACATCTTAAAACTCTAATAAATTAAAAAAAATAAAATCCTTTCTGGGAATCGTGGGGGATCACAACTAAAACTTTAGGTAAACAAATTTAAGACACACAAAACAGGTACAAACAAATAGGTTTCACATATCAAGTTAGATTTTGTTAATTTCATATCAAGTTAGTATAAATTAATTTCATAAAGTAAAATAAATACCTTGAGCTTCAAAATCCATTTTAAATAATATTAATTTATCGACTTGAACAGTTACCAGACAGATTTAAAGTGCGCTTTTGCTTCGAAATATTTCACCACAGCTCCGATGCGCTGTTGAAATGAACACGTGTTCATGCTTTTGATTCTATTTTTAGAATGTACCGTTGGGTTTCCAGCGAAAAGCGGTTTGCAACTTGGTAGATTGGACATTTTAGAGACAAACTGTGTAAATTTAATTGTAATATTTTCAAATTGGTTTTTTTGATTTTTGGCCTCTGACGGAACCACTGTGCATTGGCAGAGTACACTTGAGTTCCTAATGGACTCATTCCCGGCGAAACGTCACCCTAGCCCGGGATGCGCTCGCGCCAAGACTGCGGCAGCGGAGAAGAAGTGGCGGTCCGCTTAAGGAAAAAGCCACAAACTGGCTGGAGAAGTACTCTAGATTCCCTTTTCTTTAAATATATATAATAAAGGGGATGGGTAAGTATATCTTCAGTGAATATCCTCTTCTTCTAAGCCGTTCCTCAATTCTGCAGAACACGTGTTGCACAAATCCCTGACCCAAGATAAGAGACGCGGAGAAACAAGCACACGGAACCGATTCGAGTAAGACAAATAAATTAACCTAACATGAACAACAGCACAATAATTATTTTATTCTATTGCAGCAACGAGAAGGCACTATGGGCGACCCGTAAAAGGCTTCGGTGGCGTGAGTGGCCAGGAATCGCGGCAACTGATGGCGACGCAAGCCCGAGGAAAGAAGGCCCTTCGGAGCCACGGCCACGTCGTTTTTTTGAGAAGGGGCAGAGCCAATCAATGTCCCCAAATATGGGTACCAAAAACCTGCCGGTTCCAGACGGCGCTTCACGGAACGGACTCACCGGTTGGCTTGATGATGGCTCAGATCCCGGCTGCTACGAGGCTCGTTGGAAACCTTTTTCATCCCTCTTCTACAAATATATCCTTTCCAGAACGTCGGCGGTGGGTAAGCTCCTGAATATAATTCCACGATTTTCAATAAAAAATCGCCGTGGCCAGCGATTGATTCACTGCCACCCTGAAAATAAACGTTTATTAAATAAATAAAACGTTTTTAAATCTTTGCACTTTCACCCACGTTCTTCAGGTAATTCCTAGCCGCCCAGGAGATTAGCTGCTTTTACTTCGACTTTCCGTTGCTACTGCCGGCTTCCATGTTGCCTATCCCTCCCTATATAGGCTTCGGCCTGTCACCCGAGTTCAGACCTAGGAACCGTTCTTTCTTCAGTGCAACGGCCGAGGCCAAGGGTAAAAACCCTTTCTCTTAATTCCCTTAACCTAATCCCGTTTCCTATTCCCGGTTCGCTCTTTTGAATCCCTGCCCCCCCTGGTCCTAAAGATCCTACCTCTATCGATCTATCGATAGTCCTCCAGCCCATTCCGATTGAAAATGCAACAATTTTTTATTTTTAGAGTAAAAAATATAATGAAGCAACAAATTAAATGCATTTTTTATTTTTATAGAGTTAAAAATATAATAAAGGTTTGTTTAAATTTCATTTTATAGCTTTTTTACATTTTACAATTAAAAAGCATCACACTACCGATAGTACTATCGACACTATCGATGGTTTGAGAAAAACAATCGCTCACTGTCGATGGCGCCGACTATCGATAGTTCTCCACCTCTAGTGGGACGCCGTCATCGTCCTGGCTGTACTCCCGGTCGTCGGCGTCTTCGTCAGCGGAGCTCTCGGAGTAGGTTGCAGTGTTGCCAACTCTTCAGGGCTTGAAAAAGCTAAACCCAACTTCGAAAAAAGCTAGAAATAGCCAGCAAATCTTGATGCTAGCTAAAAAATAACGCTAGGGGAAAGAAAACATTTTTTTGTTGTATTAATTGTTGAAGAATTTTTGAAAAATGGTCAAGTTTCTCTATCATCACCTCTTCTGCAGCTGAATTTATGTATATTGGTTTGTTTTTTTTTTTTTTTCAAAAGTTTGTAATTTTTTTTTTTTTAAATGTTGTCCACAATTTTTTTAATAAAATTTTGTCGACATTTTGTCATTTTTTTAATTTTTTTCAACATTTTTTTTTTTTCAAAACTTTGTCAGCTTTTTTATTCCCTTGCAGGGTATTATAATTTCAGTCTGAAGTTTGCAACGCAGTGAAGGAGACCTTTCCGACCCTATAAAGTATATATATTCTTGATCAGCATCAACAGCCGAGTCGATCTAGCCATGTCCGTCTGTCCGTCTGTCCGTTTCTACGCAAACTAGTCCCTCAGTTTTAAAGCTATCTGAATGAAACTTTGCATATAGTCTTCTATATGCTCTGCTATATATGTCGGAACGGGCCGGATCGGACGACTATATCATATAGCTGCCATACAAATGTTCGATATATTTGTAGAAAAAAAATTATAACTTTGCTGTTTTTCAACATTTTTGCACCATTTTTTAGATATGGCCATTTTATATTATTTCTGAATTTTGGTAAAAATTTTTATGAAATTCGGACGACTATATGATATAGCTGCCATAGAAACGATTGGGAAATTAATAGGAAAAAAATTTTTACTTCGTTGTTTTTCAACGTATTGTCATCTACTCCGGGATAATCCAATAATCATCCTTCCTTCAAAGTGAACGGACGTGTTTTTTTCTTGCGCTCCCGATTTGTGTAGAATTTGTCTATAAACCTCCGGGGTTTACTAACATTTAATATTTGGTGTTTCAAATAATTCCCGTTCACTTCGCGTGTGCATGCTACTTGTTTATTTTGTGCTATTTAATTCAATTTAAATTGCATTTTAGTTTGGGCTGCTGCGGTTGCTTTGCATTTTGCTCTTTTTGCTCTTTTTGCATTCCCTTTTGTGCCTTTAGCGTTTGTTGTTGTTTGCGTTGCCGCGACAGCTATAAACGGTTCTACTCAGCGCTTATCTCTCGCTCTCCTGCTCGTTGCCCCCCCGCTCATCAAGTGCCGCTGGTATGGCCGCTCAGTCTGCCGTGCCAAAACCCCTTACGGCAATTCCACCAACAAAACAGTTATTTGTTTCTCGGCTTTCCCCTGATCAGACATCGGAAGATGTCATAGCTTTTATCCAAGGCAAAGTAAAAGTCGATAGGGAAAAAATTAAGGTGGAAAAATTTAAATTTTCCTACCCCAGGAACATTTCGTCTTTCAAGATAAATGTCATTTTCGCATTCGACCTTCATCGAGTGCAGACGTGCTTACGGACGACCGCTACGCGGGGTTTATTCTCGAAGTGTTTTTTCATGGTGAAAAATTAAATTCGGAACTCTAAACTACGTACTGTCAGCTAGGCCAAGCCCTACAGTGCGTATGACATACGGACACTAGTGCGTGAGACGTGTTTTTGAGCTGCAAAGTTCATTTATATGGTGCCACGCGTAACAAGCTCAAAATAATGAGCGGCGATCAAAAGAATGAGCGTAGAACCTCTGTAAACCAAAGAAACGGTGTTTTCTCTTATTTCTCAACTCGCGATATCGAAGCAGAAAAAAACGTCTACCAAGCCCAACCCGGCTCTACTGACCGCCGACGGCACGAGAGCGCGCTCTTGCTCTCCCGCCCTACTTATTCCAGCTCCTACATCTTGGAGCTCCCAATGCCAAACCCCACCACCAGCGGCTTCGATGGAAGACGCACCAACAACAAGCAGAGCTGCAATTTCTGCAAACGCATCAAAAGCAACAGCAACAACTAAACCAACGACCAATATTGCGAAATCGGTGCCAACGGCCGCAGCGCAAAATACAATGGTAACAAAAACCGTGAGCTCCGATAAGCAACAAGCGGTTCCGGCCATACAGACTGGCATGGATCGCTACATCCAAATTAAGCGTAAGCTTAGCCCCCATAACACGGTTGGTAACAAGCCTAAGATCAACCGTGTCACCAAAAGCTACGACCCAAACAACACCAACAAATTTTCTCCGCTAGCAGCTGGTGAGAATAATGAAGCAGAGCTGGAGCAGGAGACTCAAAAACAGCCAAAGCCCCCACCTATATATATAAGGGAGAAAAGTTCAAACGCCCTGGTCAACAAAATTGTTGCGGTGGTCGGGGACGGAAACTTTCATGTTGTTCCGATTATTAAAGGGAACATCTGCGAAACCAAAGTTCAAACCAAAACAGAAGAACACTTTCGAGCTGTGTCTAATTACCTGCAGGAAGCAAAAAGAGCTTTTACACCTACCAACTAAAAAGCAGCAAGGGACTGCAAGTAGTGCTGAAAGGAATTGAACCAGATGTCGCCCCCTCCGAGACACTAGAAGCCCTGAAAGGCAAGGGTTTCTTTGCCAAGAATGTTAGCAACATTATCAACAAAAACAAAAAGCCGCAACCTCTTTTCAAAGTCGAACTTGAGCCAGACAGTAAAGCCCTAAAGAAGAATGAAGTTCACCCGATCTACAAGTTGCAGTTCCTACTGCATCGAAGAATCACCGTGGAAGAACCTCACAAACGCAACGGTCCTGTGCAATGCACAAACTGCCAGGAGTATGGTCATACAAGGACATACTGCACCCTTCGGTCAGTCTGCGTAGTCTGTGGAGACTTCCACAACTCCGCACACTGCCCTGCGAACAAAGAAGACCCCAACACGAAAAAATGTGGAAACTGCGGAGGAAACCATACAGCTAACTACAGAGGCTGTGAGGTCTACAAGGAGCTGAAGAGTCGCATGCGAAGAGCGACAGCTACACGCCAACAAAATACACAAAATGTGTATTTTAATTCAAAAACTACTCCAGATGTATTTTTTGCCAAAGCAGCCAGATCTTCTTTTGGTCCGCTAAATGCCCCCACGGGCATCTCCTACGCCGAAGCTCTACGGACAGGTATGCAAAATCCACTCCCCTCAAACTCAGTAAATGCTCAGCAGGCCCCAGAGAAGCCACAAAACAACATGGAATCCATGATGGTGACCATGCAACAAAGCATGATGGAACTCATGTCATTTATGAAAACGACCATGCAAACGCTCGTCCAGAATCAGAATATGGTGATGCAGCTGCTCGTAGCACAACAGTCAAAATAATCAATGTCCAATCTACGTATATCCACGTGGAATGCCAACGGCGTCTCACGGCATAAACTTGAACTAACACAATTTCTAAACGAAAACCACATCGACGCCATGCTATTGGTTGAAACGCACCTCACAAGCAGATACAACTTTCATATAAGAGGTTATACCTTCTACCGCACAGATCATCCAGATGGTAAAGCCCACGGCGGGACCGGCATCCTTATCAGAGAACGCATCAAACACCACTTCCACCAAAGGTTTGCAACAAATTACCTGCAAGCTACGTCCATAAAAGTGCAGTCAGGTAACGGCAACCTTTGCATTGCTGCTGTCTACTGCCCACCTCGCTTTACAATCTCTGAAGGTCAATTCATGGATTTTTACAACTCTCTTGGAGATCGATTTATAGCTGCAGGAGATTACAACGCCAAGCATACGCATTGGGGATCCCGCCTCGTGACCCCCAAGGGAAGACAACTGTACAACGCTCTCATCAATGTGAGAAATAAGCTGGACTACGTTTCCCCTGGTAGCCCCACATATTGGCCAGCAGACCCCAGAAAGATACCCGATCTAATTGACTTCGCGGTGACAAAAAACATCCCACGCAATCTAATAAACGCCAAGGCCCTTCCAGACCTTTCTTCAGATCACTCGCCGCTGTTGATAACCCTCCTTCAAAGCCCAGAAACTACGGATCGCCCCTATAGGCTGACGTCGCACAGAACCAATTGGATGAAATACAAAAAGTTTGTGAGTTCCCACATTGAGCTAGCCCCCCAGCTCAATACTGAAACCGACATGGACTCCTCCACCTCCGCACTGGAAGAGGTACTTGTGACTGCAGCCAGAATCTCAACACCACAACAGACGGATGTGCAAAAAATCAAATTCAAAACGAACCAGCAAATTGAACAGCTTATCCAAGAAAAGAGGCGTCTGCGACGGGCGTGGCAAACCAATAGATCGCCAAGCACAAAGCAACGTCTAAATGAAGCCACACGCAAACTAAGCCGGGCCCTGAAGCAAGATGCCGAAAAAGCACAATTAAGATATATTGAAAAACTCTCGCCAACCAGCACAAAGCATCCCTTATGGAGAGCTCACCCAAATTTAAGCTCACCGGCTGAAACCATCACCCCGATAAGAAAGTCATCTGGTTGCTGGGCCCGCAGCGACAAAGACAGAGCCGAAACTTTTGCCTCACATCTCCAGGGCGTTTTCCAGCCGAACCCTGCTGCAAATCCATTTGATCTACCGCAAATCCACACTGAAACGGAATCTACTCCAGAATCATTTCGTCCGAACGAGATAACGAAGGTCATCAGGGAACTGAAGCCGAAAAAGGCTCCCGGCGTTGACCTAATAACTCAAAAAATGATAATTGAACTTCC